AAGAACCTTGAATTCCTCTGTTAAAGTTATCCCTGGTTCTGTTTGTGATACTGCAGGAGGAGAATGGCATCTGTGGTGTTACTGTGTAAAACCTTCCACCGTGTTCTATATTAAAGAAAACCATGTCTTTGTTTTCTTCTCCTTGAACTTTTCTTATTTCTTTTCACCCTCTATCTGTCCCACTGAGCTGCTTCAGCTTTCAGCTGCCTTGCAGACTCTTTTTCCTTATTTTCATATGCCTTCTCAGGTGCTGGTTCATCTGCTTAATTTTCTCTTTCTAGTGTTCATTTGCTGCCTTGATTCCCTCCTGCTTTATCTTTGATTAATTTCTTCCAGTCCTGGAAATAGAGGAAATGATCTGTGATAGAGGAAGCCATCACAGTAACTGTTATAAAATGATGTGGAATGTAAATGACAGTGTAATGGCACATACCATGAGATATGCCAAAAATTCTCATGCAACTGATTATCTTTCAAGGCTAGGGAGGGATGAAATTGATGTGTGCAGGGAATCTTTAGATACTAAACGTGTCAACTATATAGACCCTGAAGAGGAGACCAGAATATGAGTGACTTTTTTAGGTGGGAAGGTCAGTTTTAAGGTGATGAGGCAAAGATGACTTTGGCAGTCCTGTCCTAATAGGCTATCCAGGGAGCCCCTTAATGGGATGAGGGTTGTAGTGGAACCTTGGTGCTGCGCTGAGATGCCGGGTGCTGCCTGCTTGTTAGAGTCGCCCAACAGAGGAGAGAACATGATCATAACAACGCTTTGTTTGTCCTTCCTTGAGGCAGTGAGCAATGATCCCCATATTCCTGCTAGGTGAAGGAAAAGGTTTTGTACTTGTGAGTTCTTCCTCTGTTCAAGTGGCTTGTGCTCCTCCCGCTTCCTGGTGTCAACTTTTGGCATTTTATGAGCTGTCCTGAGAATCTGTTCAATGTACGGAAGATAATGCCTGTCACATTCCAGCTTCCATTCTCCATGCCTTCCTCAGTCCCTGGCCCTATCTGTCCTCTCTTCCTTGCTCTCTGCCCACTCTGCCCTGCTGTGTCGAATGTATAGACTCTGTTGACTCTGGTATCACAAGAAAAGAGTGAGGGAAGAAAAAAGAGGTGGTAAATCATCTGTGCCTGTGATGGATTAGCTAATTGTTGCTTTATGGTAGGTAAATTGTTGGGTAGTGTCCAGCGCAGAAGTTGAGCAAAAAGCGTGGAACTGCTTAATGACTGCTCACAAAACACACCTCTCTAGTTTTTGGGGAGTGAGGTATGCCACTGCTCGATGGCTCACTATAGAAATGTTAATTCTCTCTGAAAAGAAAACCGATAGTTATGGCTTGGACCCAATCCTCACCCTTAACTCCCTCCAAGTTGTTTCTTTCTTCCCCTCAATTCTTATACAAAATAACTTAGTTAATTGTGGAAACAGACTGAGATTGGTATCAGTGCAAATCCTTGAGTGTAAGCCCTGTCCTAATGTTTTTGCATGAATGCAAGGTATTGAATGTCTTCAGGGGTGCTTTGCGTGGTGGTTATTTTAGACAGAAAAGTCTAGACAGTTCTTAGGATCTATTGCACATCTCTACACCTGCCAAAATTTGGGAGGGAGTTTTGTTCAAATTACACTGCTGTTCATCAGACAGGTTTTCACAACACGCATAGCACTAACTGAATTAGTCTGTTTCTCTCTTCCTCCCCCAAAAAATCTCTGCTACTAGTGTTTTAAAACTTGAGTAATATTCTGCAATTGCTATTTTTATTTATACCTTTCCTCATTCTCTAACAATTTCATGAATAGTAAGGACATTCTTTTGTGCATGGTTTTGTTGTATGTTCAATAATGTAGAAATTTCACACACGTGATGGAGAAAAATTACTTTTTAAACACATTTTGAGTTGAAATTTAATAGATTAGTTTTGAGAAAGGCTCTTCAGTGGATAAAAGAGATAAATATAGATACGTATTTTCAGTGTCAGTTTTAATTGTATTTTTTCAGAAATACAGAAAACTACTTTCTTGCTTAAACATGCAAATATTGCACTGTTGAAAATACCTGGCATGTAAGAAAGTATCTAAGTAATGTCGACTTGCTTTTTATTGTTTTTAATTCATCTAAGTTCTTCAGCAATATCCAGACATTGCAATTGACAGTACCAAGTCTCCATAGGGCTCTGAAGTTCATGGAGAAAATGCATGGAAAGAATATAGATGTGTGGAAGAAAGGAAAAATGAGCAGTTGATTTAGACTACTGGTGACATTTGAATGCTGATTTTAAAACTTTGCTTAAATATTATTAAAATTCATTGAATTGGGTAATGAGTCCTTCTTCCTCCCTTCTCCATTCCCTCTTGGGAGGGAATGGAGAAGGTTTGCACATGATATGTTTGATTCACATGTGATTAGACATTTAATTCATATCATGGAAAATTAAACTGTAGGCTATAAAATGTGGTTACAATCTCAATTAAAATGTTTAATATTTCCCCCTAGGTTTCTTAGTAAAAATAACAATAATGCTCCTAATGCTGGTAAGCTCATCTTAAACTATCTGCCAGTACATGAGTTCATGGGTCTGTCTTCACTTCCTGCTTTGCATAGTTTTGGTCATTTAATCTTAAATACGTGTCTAGCTGAGCAGTTGTGCCACTGTGTTGGCTATTTTGAGTAAAGGTTTGTGCAATTTTGTAATATCTTATTATATAAAATATAGTCCTACAGTGTGGTTGTAAAAGTACTGTTTTTAAGGGCTCTTGATTAAAAAAAATGTTTAAAGTAGCCCTTCAAGTTTTTAGTAGACCTTCAAGAATGGGCAAGTATGAGTTAAAAAAAAGCACAGGCAAACAAAGAGCCACAGTTGTATTTCTTGGTGAGGATATGTATGTTATAATTTCCATGTTTTAGAATAGAATGAAGTTCTAGAAAGGATAGTAGGCAAAAAGCAAACTGCATTAGAAAACCGTAAAAAATAAAACCTTGACTGCATGCTGAATGTTTTATTTTAGGTGTTTGTGTAGTTTGTAATGGAAACTATGGGCTTACAAGAGCAAGTGATGGGAAACAGTGGTCTGTGAGGCAGCAATAAAAATTGGGAATGCCAAATATGTGCACTGTGTGTCAGCCATGGTTGTGAATTTGTTTGAAAAAATAAATTGTTAAACAATGAAGGCCAGTTATTTTTTTTCATTATTATTATTTTTCCTGGGAAAAGAGTTTGTATAGCCTAAGGAGGGATTTGGTGCCTGTGGGAAAGAGAACAGCGGGCTCAATTTTCAAAATTTCTGCAGCTTTGCCAAGACATATGGGAAGAAACAAGAGTGCACCCTCAACAACTGTAGCCCTGGAAGACTCTCCTAGACCTGCATGCAGGTTTTTCCATTCATAATTATGCTTAAAAATCAAACTGTGTGCTCTGGTAGCTCTGCACAGGGAGGAGTCGAGCTTGTTCAGCCAGATGTTGATTTACTGTAATAATTAAGCTGCTCTAGTCATGTGAGGGGATGTCTGTCCTGGTGAACGTGGGAAGGCGAGTGGTGTGTGTTTGGTCAGGCCGTGCCTTTGGGAGCCCATCCTCTGCACATCTGCTGTGCGCAGGCACGGTGGGGAAGCAGCGCCTGCTCCTGCCGCTGCTTGGACGTGAATATGTTTCATGTGACTCCTCAAACCCCCTCTGTGATTTGAGTCAAGTGTTTTCTTGGTGGTAGAGTGTGCTGGGAGTGCTTGTTTTCCAGGCTGCTGCTGCAGCTCCACGAGTGGAACAGAGTGCTGGTCTTTTGGCTCTCATTTCTTTGTAGCTCAGGATGCTGTTCTTGTTTCTCATCTGCTGCGTTTGATATCCTGTCCATCTCAATGGTTTCCTTTTGAACCGGAGCTGTGCATAAACATCCTTTACTCAAGTAAAGGTTCAACCTTTTTTTAAAAAGGAATGGTAAAACAATGTAGCTGTAGTGGACGATACAAAGAAGATGTCAAATGTGTTATCTGAATTTTTGCTCATGTCAACTGTTTTCAATGAGTGTGGTGTATTCCTGCAAAACAGACCTAACTGGGTCGGTGCCTTTTGCTCTAGCCAAAATACTGTAGGGGAACAGAGTTACAAGAGCACTGAAACATTTAAAAAATAGCACATCCATGCAAATTCTCCCCCAGATTGTTGCTGTTCACAGGCTCTTAAAAAACGGAGGAAATAAGGAAAATACACAAGGAAACAGGATTAACACATGAAGCTTAGAGTAAAATAAGATGAAAACCAGAAACACTTTCTGTAATCACTTGGGAAAACCTACTGTAGAGAACAGGATCATAGAATCACTGTTTAAAGAGAGGATTTGGGGGATATTGCTGGGACAAAGTAGTCTAAACTGTTTTAAAAGTACTTCTAGATAGAAAAATGAATTGGATTTCTTACTGGTGTGTGTTGTTGATCCTCAGAAAGGGGAAGCAATGGCTGCTTTCAGGAAGCTGCAGGCTCTTATCAATCAAGGTAATAATGAGACTTGAGCCTTTTGATTGCTTTGCCTGTATGTTTTATTTTTTTTGTCATTTTCCTTCTCATCATTTTATGTGTTTGTTTCTTTGCTTGTTTAACAGGCTTGGGGCAAGATCTTTGTTCTTGCCTTGCCCTGGATTTTTTTTTTTTTTTTTTGACAGTTTTTTTTTTTTTTTTTTGTTGTTGCTATGGATGCCCCTCAGGGTTTGGGTTACCCTGATGTGTATGTCCCTTGGTCACCTTGCCTATGCAGACAACAAGGGCACATTTTTTCTGGCTGAGCTTGATCCACAAAGAGCAGGCAGGTGACTTAGGTGACCCAAAGATCCCCATAATTTATGGGCTCTATTTCTATGCTCTCGTGGCACAACCTCAGTCACACTGCGAGTTTCCTTCATAATTTTGCTTTGTATATTATATGAACTTAAAATTTCTGCCTTTTGCAAGGTCTATTATTTTGGGGGTTTATTTGTTTGTTTCTAATGTCCCCTTGTCTCTCTTTTGTGTTTTGGTAGGCCTGGATGATTGCCTGCAGCAGTATGTCCATAAATTTGAACGAGAGAAGATAAATGGTGAACAGCTGTTACAGATTTCTCACCAGGACCTTGAAGACTTGGGTATCTCACGGATTGGACACCAGGAACTGGTTCTAGAGGCTGTGGATCTCCTGTGTGCACTGGTTAGTCACGTTGTGAAGAGATGAGCAAAGAACTTCTTAAAGGGCTTTTTTGGGTGAATAACCAAAAAACCAGAATACCTTTGTATCTTGCTTTCTGTTACACATCATGATAAAAGAAAAAAGTAAGAATTTGTTTAATTCTTGCAAGTTTTGTAATAATAGTTCTCTAACTTTTTCCTGATAAGAGGCAGCTTCGGTTCATTTGCTTGCACTTCCAAAGGGAGAAGTTGTCTGTGATCTTGTGGCTCCTGTTAGTGAACAGTTTGTCTTCGAAGACAGAAGGCACACTGTTGAAATGACAGGTGCTGGAAGTTCCTCACATCAGTTGAAATGGGTTTATGGTAATTCTGTAGCAAACCTAGGAAGTGAAGAAAAATTAATTCTTGAGATGAGGGATGTTTAGCCACCTCAGTTACAGTTTAGCTGAACTCTTAATTGGATTCAGAACTTAAGCTGTTCTTTTGTTCTACTCCTGATATATAACTGAAAATAAACATACTCTGAAAAGCATAAAGATGTTTTGGATTGTTTTACTAGTGCAGGCTTTATTTAAAAGCCATAGTTTGGTCGCAGCCTTGAAGGCCTGTTTGATGTAGTGCAGTGTAATGAGCACCAGAGGTATATAATAATTACATCAGGGAGGAGGGTGGGAAAGCCTGCCTGATGATTCCTTGGCCAGCATTGGCCTGTCTTCCCTACATTAGGCAAGGTTTGGAGCAGCAAGCATATTCTTCTTAAAATGGAGAGTGTTTATTGCCTGTGTGATATGTGCTTTATTCGCTGCAGAGAGGTGCTACAGGGAGTGCTCCTACTCCACAACCCGGAGCAGATTGTACTGAAAGAAGCATATTTAATGAAATCTCTTCAAACTATCTAAAATGTTTCTCAAAAAGTTACTCTTATACTTGAAAGACATTTTATTTCCTTTAGGTATTTGATCTACCAAAAGATTTTAACATTAACTTGAAAACCTAATAGAAGAATGTAGTTGGACTGAAAAGCAGTTCATGGTGCGGGAAGGAACTTGTCAGGCAAGTGCAGGGGTCTGGTGAGTTAGTAAATGTAGTGTGGGCTGTATATGGTCCTGACTGAAGTCATCTACGTGGTAGTCCCCAAAGGCACTTTTTTATTCTCTTAAAAATATTAGAATAAAGTGAACAAAGCTGGACAACTGCCAGAACCTGAAGCTGTGTTTTATCTCTTACAATTTCCTTCTAATTTCCTTCGTAGACAAAAGTTTTGACCTCAGACCCATTTCTGGAAATCCTTTGTGAAATGCAGCTCAAGTTAATGCATTAGACAGATACTGCATATTACAGCTGAAATGTATTTGTTACCTTTTTAAGAGGTGCAGGAAGAATTCTCGTGTTTTCATTATGCCCGTTGCCACCTTCTTGATGCCTGTTCCTTTGAGTTTTTGGAACTGCATGGAGTCACCACTGATTTTGTTTCCAAGGGGATACTAAATGCTAATGACAATTTTTTGTTGTTGTTGTGTTGTTTCTTTTTGTGCAGGAGAGAGGTTTCCTGAGTCCACCTGTGTTAGTTCTTTGAAAGTGGGAATGTTTATGGTTTAGTGGATGTTTTCTACATATGCTGACACTTCCCCAACTTTTGCAGCCTTATAAGCAAAGGAACAATTTTGAAAATTTTTTCTTTTTTAATCTTTTTTGCTTTTCTGTTCCCCCTTTTTTGATCCCACTGCCACCCCCACTAAGCTGTCAGCTCACACTCTGGAAATGTAGCATTGGCTGGGCCAGCCTGATGTCACTCCTTGCAAGGTTGTCGTTCTTGGTGGGGAAAGGCTGAGAGGGGATTTTGGTGGTTTCCCAGTTCTGGAGTTCCCAAGAAGAATTTCCCCTTTTGTCTAGTTTTGTCTTGGCAGTCTCCCAGCTGAGTTTCCTTCAGATCAATGCTTTGGCTCCCTCACACCACAAGAACACATGTGGCTCTAAAGACAGTGGGGAAACTCTCTTTGGGACATCTTTCTCCTGCACTATCTCTTTTCAAGCATTCACTGTAGAGACCTTTGTTCCAGCCTCAGTAGGTCAGTCACTAAATAGAGTGTGAGCACAGTCCTTGCCTTGAGAAAATACACCAAATGCACCAAATTTTTTAATTAAGTTTTTCTAGGGGCTGAGTACTATTTGGCAGCACTGAGCTAAAAATATTTCTGTAAGTTTCTGGTGTGAAAAGGAAATAATTGCATCTTTTTCTACTGCTTTGGTGATGAAGCAGTGTTCTCTCATGTCCTTGTAGCAGTGGCTGCATATGCCTGTCTTGGAAGGGTCAGCAGGAGAGTGTAGACTGGAATACAACATTTCTGTTGCTGTTGAGCTGGTCTAATAGAATTTTCTGAACAGGTGTTGAAGACTTATTTGAGAAATTTAGAGGATATATCAAAGGACCTGAATTCCCCCTGAAAAGGGGAAAAAAATCATCAACTTGAGTATTTCAACTTTTTGTTGAAAAAAGTGTGTGGGGGGAGAAGGGGATGGAAGAAAGATCATGTTTCTTTGTTGATTGAAGTATTTGGGGGAGGGGGAAACCAACATATATAACTTTGCTTTTCAAACCACAGAAGCAGGGACAGAAAACAAGCTTTTGAGGGCTTAATAAATATAAAACAATGTAAGCAAGAAACTATGCAAATATTTTCACTTCTAATGTGTTGTTTGGATTTGATTTCTGAATCTTTGCCTACACTGTATGATGGGAGAGTTTGGAAACAAAAACACAGTGGATTTTTCTTGAGGTTAGAGTAAAGAGATACTAGTTATATGCAATTAAAAAAACCACCCCAAACCCTAAAAAAACCCATAAAACAAAAAGGGACATAGTTGTGCGTTTGATAATTTTACTGATGGTAGCATTCTGCCAGCATGTTTGCAGTGTAACAAAATACAACATCATAACATGAAAAAAATGCATTCATGAAGACTTACCCTTTGGGTCCTAATCATTGTCAAAGTATATCTATGCACTACCACATAAGATTTTTGTTCTTTGAGTGGCTTCAAATTTTGTGTTGTTTATTAAAAAATTTGCTACTCCAGAGGATTCTTTAGAATGCATTTTTGTTAAAAGGAAAAGAGCAAGAATGGGTGACTGTGACAGTACCTTGTGTTCATTCAAAGGTTTATATAGCCTGCTGTGAGTTGGGTCAGCATCTGAGCAAGCATTTAAGCTGGTTTTATTCATTTTATTTCCCAGAGCAGGTTTTCAGTTCAATCAGCATGTCCAACTCATCACATTGCAGCATGTGAACATGGCTGTGAAAGGGAAGAGGATGCTCTCCCTGGGCAGTAGCAGAGCTCTTCATCAGCCCAATTCAGCTCTGAGATAACTGCTCTGCTCTTTTGACTCCAGTTGGCCACTTTTGGGTTTCTTTTTTTTTTAATTTTTTAAAATTTTTTAAATTTTTTTGTTTGCTGGCTGCCTAACCTTGAGCTGTTATTTGGTCAGATTATTTTTTCTCATTAAATGTGATGGAGTTTAGAAGGAGTGAGCTCATGTGCTCTCTCCTGCACGTGTGCGTGCTGCCGCTCCTCCAGCCCTGCATGTGGCTCCCAGGTTAATGAGTAATAGCCTCGGAATGTTTGACATCAGGTGCTCTTGACCGCTGGCTTCAGCCTGTGTTTAGGTTAAAACAGCTTTGATGTTTAAAATTGAGAGCAATAGTAAAGTGCAACCTTTTTTTTTTTGGTTCATGAGCAACATCTAAAACCTTTTGGTTGCTTAAATAATAATTTGTTAACTCTTGCAGCCTTAGTCCTGTGGAAATATTTCAAGAAAAGCCTGCTAAGCTTTGCACTTCAGCTGTGTGTCACTGTGAAGGTTGTTTGGTGTGCTGCCACAATATCAACATTCCTATCTGTCGTGGATTGGGGCTACAGTTCTATGACAAGTTAAATTAATCCAAGTCAGCTGCTGTCTCCACCTCCTCCTGTCCTCTGATTAGTGATTCTTTGTGCTTGCACTCACCTGACCCTGAAGTGAGCTACTTCAGGGAGCTAAACCAGAGGATTAGATTTCTTTGTATTGTTTAGATCCCTGAGCCAACCTTGCCAACAGACTGGACATAGCAAGTGAAGGAGAAAGACTATTTGGTGATGTGAGAGCTAGTCAAGAGAGTTTCAGCTGGGATAAAAGCATTGTTATATCCAGTGAAGGGGCAAAATGCTTTCTGTGTATTAGAGCAGACAGTGAGGGGACTGGTGAAGCAGTAGTGGCTTGGGTTGGGATGGCTCCTATTTCTGGAGTAGTTCATCCACTAGGGCTGATCCACAGTTGTACAATTTGGTGTCCTGGTACTCAAGAGCTACGTACCCTGTGTTGTGCTGGGTGGGTGTGGTGCTTGGTCAGGACTCTTCCTGTACAAACTGCTGGTTTAGCAGTGGAGGTGCACTCTCTAGAGCCTTTGGAGGAAGCTGTAAGAGGGAGCTTAGAGCAGTGACTTGGAGCTTGGCTGTGATATGCTCTTGAGAGTCTTTTGGGGACACCAGTTGCAGTTATGAGCTGGAGCCCCTGCATCCCTAGAGGCTGCACCTGTGTTGCTGAAGTCACCCTCAAAACTGAGAACTACTTGACAGAATTATTTAAAAACTACCTGAACTGGAAGAGTCACACCAGACTCGCCTGTGGTATAAATAAGGTGAAACAGGTGTGATAAGGGATATGTGAATGTTTTAAGGCCAAGCCCAAAATCATACCTGGTATAACACATGTCCTTTTAAATGCTGCTGCCACCTCTAATCTCAAGTACCCACGGGTGGTTGGCTGAGTTTCTGCATCTGAATGACAGAAAGAAAGATCTGGAGATACTTAATTACATGAAAACTCTCAAGTTCTGATCAGAGTGATTAGGTTGTACCTCTGTACAGAAGAAGTATTTTCTGTTTTCTGTCCCTTTAATGAAAGCAGGGGATCAGCATCCTCTAGTTCCCCTCTTTAAGGGGAGGGTTTCTGATATGTGGCTTTCTTGTAGTCATAGGAACTTGCCTCACATCCAGACCTGTTTGTGAAAAAGTATTCCCTCAACAATAAACTAATATTCACTCTTCTAAGAGGAGGCTAAAACTAACTGCAAAAAATGCATCCAAATAATGCTCTTGGGTTGCTGTTTTTTTTTTTTTTTTGGTGCTTTTTGTTTTTTTGTTTTGTTTTTTTTGTTGCTTTTGTTAAAATTAAAAGGTTATAAGTTCACACATCACAGTGTGCAAGTACTTTAAAGTAGTTTAGTAATCCAGATATTTACCTTTCTGTAATCCTGGAAAATTTAAGGATATCCTTTGCTGTTGCAACAGTGGCATTTTTTAAAATTGGACATATCCTTTCAACCCTTACTCCTGGCTGCACATTAAGGGTATTTCCTTGCCAAGAGCCCCGAGGTGGAGGAGGAAGGCACTTGTGTAACTTAAACCCACTGGGATCTTATCCATAGGACGTAGTGGTAATTTAAAGGTAGCTGTGTAGCTGACACCTCTCCATACGCTGGAGACGTGTGTTTCTATGGGTCAAAGATTCTTACATTTTGTAAATGGCTTAATCCGAAATATTCCAGCCTGCTTTACAGATGCTTCAGTCTGGAGGGGATGGAGCTACAACCAGCACTGTGCCCTAGCAACATCCTGGTCTGCATTAATGGGAGAGAGAGGGAAGTGTTTATCACCCTTTAGTTGTCACTCCTCAGTCTAAATTTGCCCCCTGCCCCTAAGTGCAGCAAAGGTACAGGGAAACCAGAGCAAGCTCAGTGAAGGGCTCTCAGCTTGGTCAGGGCTGGAGTACTTGCCCTTGAGGAGAGGCTGAGGGACTGGGACTCCTTCATCCTGGGAAGGAGACGGCTCCAGGGAGGCCCAACAGCCTCAGCTGGATCTGGAGCTGGATCCCCAGTGCCCACCGTGGTGGGGAGCAGTTGTCGGGATGACAGAGTTGGGCTGTGCATGGCAGAAGCTGAAACAAGAGGTTCAGGCTGGATATAAGGAAACGCTTTCTTACCCTGAGGACAGTCACACCAGGTGGATCAGGCTGCCCAGAGAGGTTGTGCCACTGTCCTTGGAGGTTTTCAAGACCTGACAAGATAAAATCCTGAATAAGCTGGTCTGAGCTTACAGCTGAGCCTATTCTGAGCGGGAGGTTGGTCTGAGACCTCTGAAGCTTCCTTTCAGCCTAGATGGTGATCCTGAGTGGAGGCATTAGAACTCCTGGAAACTAGGAACTAGATGGAATTAAAATTTGCTGTAGTTGTTTAGGGTTTTGAGTAGGAAAGTAGAAAGAGTAGAGAGGATATCTGACTGAACTATGGAACTTGGAGGTTAATTGCAAGAATCTGCAGCAGCAAAAGAATAGCGAAGGGCAGGACTCTCTTATATTTTTGTGTGTTTGTTTTGTTCTGGTGGGAGTGGGTTTTTTATTGTTGTTTTGGGGTTTTTTTGGGTTTTTTTTTCCCTCAAGAAAAGTAGGATTTTGCATTTATAAAGTTGAAGCTATAGGCAAGACTCAGATTTTTTTTTTAGGTTTTGTAAATGAATGAAAAATTTGGTGTCTAAAAATAGGTTTAATTACCATGTATGATGTTAACACTGTCCTCAAACTTGCAAATAATTGCACTATTGTACTCAAGGAGCACAGTTACTGAAAGCTGGTGATCCAAATATTTATTTAAGCTTTTGATTGCAAAATTGCATTTGCTTCCTGTTGATGCTTTAATCGCTTACCAGATTTAACTTATCTTTTGTTGTGAATGAAATGTTACTTCAGTGTTTATTTATTGCAGGATAAGAAATGTTTTAAGAAAAACTGTGCTTGCTCTTCTTTAACACAAAGAAAAACAACACATTTAACAAGTAAATGATATCTTTTAGGACATTGGGACTTGATTCTGATTAAAAAGTGTCCTTAAATCTCATTAATGACAGAAACTGAGGTTTGGCACTCACAAAAGTATTCTTTACTGGCTGTTTGTAGAACAAATCTTTGAATGCATTTTTGCCAAAAAAACATGAGAAAGTTGTGCAAATCATCAAGACTTTTCATCCCATGTGAGCTTTTAACTTGTTTTATAATAAATGGGAGAACTCAACAAAGGATATTTATCAAGCTTAATAAATAATGTTCCTTGCAGAACTATGGCCTTGAAACAGACAATATGAAGAACCTGGTTCTCAAGCTGCGAGGGTCATCCAACAATCTGCAAAACTACATCAGCAGCCGTAGAAAAAGTTCAAATTATGATGGAAATACCTCTCGCAAACCCCCCAATGAATTCCTTACTTCTGTCGTGGAGCTTATTGGTGCTGCTAAAGCCTTGCTTGCGTGGTTGGACCGGTAAGAATGAAATTATTATATTTTTATTTGGTGCTCTAATTGCTTCTCTTTGAAAAGGGCCTTCCCTAGATGCTTGGGTGTAAAGATCTTAAGGTCACTAACCCCGTTTTTTGATGTTGCTAGAAGACCTCTAGTGGATAAGTTTAACCTAGGGTATCTATTCTTGCAGTTTCACTCTTGTTAAAAGCAATAAAACTGTTAACATTGCACTCAAACTGGTATTTATAAAAGTATGAGTGTTCCCTTTTAAGTCAGTTTCTCATACACGTGGTTTTCCCAGTTTCTAAATTACTTGTCATTGGCAGATCCCTTCCTGAAAGATTTTTTTCATGTTCTGCTGAAATCATGGCCTTAGCTATGTGATTTGAAAACTGAGCAGTGGGAGAGATTATCCTTCTGCTGTTTCATTTTCTCTTTTTCTGTCTTTTTTGTCTGGAAAGAGCCACAGTTATTTTGTTACAGCTGCAGCAGGTTAAGTGCTGGCAGGGATGCAGTCCATGATAAGAGATGAACATAAATTCTCAAAGCCCTTGCTAGCTTGCCTGAGAAGAAGAATTAGGAGAATAACTGCACAGAGACTGGCAGCAAGGTGCACTTTTATCCTTTATCCTGCTCTCAAGTAAGGACTTGATCTGTGTCCAGGCAGCAATGTTAGCACTTTTTGTCTCTCACCTGGTCCTCTCACTCTGTTGCTGGCAGCTCACCCTAAATTTTTTTCTGTAACTTAGTCATCAAAATTGTTGATTTGTCCATTTACAGACCCGCTGTGGTTATTTCTCAACCCCTCTTCTAGGTTTTGCAACTGTCTGAAAGGTCAGAAGTAGAACTCTTCAGGTCCTAAAGCTGCCCTACCTGTAATGATTCTTCTCTAAGTCTCACTGCACCTCTGTGTACACCTCTGTGAAAATCTATTTTTCTTCTTTTAGAGAACTGTTTTTTCCTTGTCCGGTCAGAAAGTTGGAGGTTCTCTTACTGGTGAACCCCAAGGACAGAGCTAGAAAATTCCCAGTTGTGGTGCAAGAGTGAAGCCAGGACTGTACAGTCAGGAATATTTACATTGTGAAACTATCCTCACACCTGTTTCAGTGTCAGAATTGCAGCACTTACTCTCATATGCTGTTCTTCATTGGTAAGGTAGGATGGGAGAACGCTGGTCCCTCCAATCTAAGAGGAATTTTCTCTTGTTGTAGGACCCCATTTACAGGTATTGCTGACTTTTCATCAATGAAGAACAGAATCATTCAGCTCTGCTTGGACCTCACTACTACTGTTCAAAAGGTCAGCTGATTTCTTTTCCTCTCTGCTTTCCAAAAGGGAAGGAAAGGAGGCGTTGGGGAAGTAATGTGCTTGCTTTGTGCTGAGTGCTAATGAAAGGCAGTTCTGGGAATGAGAGCTTACTTTTAACTTTGAACATCCATGAAGGTCAGTTTCTGACTTGTGGGTTTTTTTGTTGTTCCCCCTGCCCTTCAATTTAGTTACCATTTTTGGTATTGCTGGCTGTATCTTAAGGGACTGCAGCTTAAAGGCTACTCTTATTTTCTTGATCTTTACTAGAAAGAAGGTTCGTCTTTGAAATAGTTGATCTGCGTTTGAAGATTTTCACATTCCAAGCAGCATGTTGAAAAACAGTTATCAGTGCTAACTCTAAACAAAAATATGGCTCCATTGGTTTTGTACCTATGTTTGCAGACTCCATAGATCTTGTCCCATGGAGGATATTTTAGCCATCAGATGGGAAATGCTGCATGTAATGGAAGGAGCTGCCACCTTTATGATACAAATCTCACCAGCCAAACTGCTTCTGCCACTACTGCAAGACCAGAATATTTTCCAAAACTTTAATTTACCAGTTGTATGATGAGTGCTTGTATAAATAATAGCTAAAATAGCAGCCGTGGCAATCTTGGCAATTGATATAATTTTGCTCTCTGAATAATGCTGCTTGTTTTTGAGCCTGTTCTGAGAGCATGGCACTGTTGTGGCTGTGAAGCACTGTGCGCACACTTCAGTGACTGCCAAACTTGTTCATAACCAATATTCTGTGCCCATATAATGTTTGACCGTGCCCTGTGACATGGGTGATTCCTTCCCTGTGCTGAAGGGATGATGTCAAAGGACAGAAACATCCTGAGTTGTCAAGCTGTGATGCCACCCAATGATGTCAGTTGTCATTGTGAAAGGATGGTGTCTGGGTGCCCCAAGGTGTGCATGCCTGCTGCTCAGTGCCCTTCTTGCGGGGACACTCCGTGTGCAATCATACAAACTCAGTGATTTACAGCTACAGATGTGCAGATTGTGCAGTGAAACAGTTCGTGTTTCTAGCAGCAGATGGTGTTCACCCAAGAGTGCTACTGGAACTGAGATAGGAGATTGCTGAACGTGTGAATAAAGCTGCTAAAAAGGGTGTCTAATCTTTCTGTTAGGTCAGCCTTTGGTGGCAGGGGAATGGAAGTTGTGAACAGCAACCCTAGCCTTTTAAAAAATGTCAGACTACCTCTCTGCCAATTTGCTATGAGCTATAATAAAAGACGGGGTTGGTGCATATGAGAAAAGCATTAATGGGGGAAGAACCAAAGAACATGGTTTTGTTCTGGGACAGGGCACATATGCTAGAATAGTCTGAAGGAGTCTCCTGATGTGGAAAAGAGATACAGTGGAAAAATATTTTGGAAGGTTTTTAGACTTCAAAAGTATTTCTTATTAAGACAGACTGCAGAAAGAGGTGGTCAGTTCTAATGGTGAAGAGGCCAGAGTGGCTCTCCTGGAACCAATGCTGCTCTGCTTGATTATAAATGGTGGATAAAAGCATATAATAATAAAGCAAGACAGGAATGCAAGAAGATTCTAGTTACCCTTGATAGCTACATTGATTCAAGGACAGGATTTTACTCTACTTTAAGTTCAGGGCTGAAATAATAAACAGTATAAACAGAAATGAGTAGGAGCAGAAAGACTTTGCAATATTGAGCATTTTGGCTGCGTGATGATAGGTGGCATTTGCTGTTGATTTGTGCAGATGTATTTAGCAGAGAAAAGCAGGGGAAAGTCCTCCACAAGCTTCTCCAACACGACTCCTCCTTAAGCCTATTAAAATATTTGGGGGTTTTCTCCTTGTGGATATTGTAAACCTTGGTCTATTATTTGTGTGCTGTTTTTAATCTGAGAATAATATCCTACTCCAGTTCAGCACTTCTGGCAGAAAGCAGTGATGACTTCCGTAGATTTTTACATGAACATATTTCAGTTCAAAGACTTTTATACCTGGACTAAGTAAATAATGCCTTGTGTACAGTCCTCTGCCCTTCAGGAATGTCATTGATATTTTTCAGAAAATCACTTTCCCTTCCATTTTTAACAGTATGCTTTAGATACATTTTGATGCCTGGGGCAGAGGAGTACCTGAGTTGGGGTTTATCACTGTAAGCAAACATATCTGCCTGGCCTTCTAAGAGTCTGATTTAATTGTGCAAGGTTCTGCTTTTCTAGAAAAGTCAGCTGTTGTAATTGAATCCCACATTCTCTTAGTTTTCAAGGTTTATTGTTGCTTTCTGCCAGGGCCAGAAAATAGTTGCTTAATAGTCCTTTTGAGCCCTACTGGGTGAAACTAATCTGACTAATCCCTGCAGCATGAATAACTCTATTTCTATTTGAGGTTAAAAAGGAAGTTTTGCAGAGTTTTCAGAGATGATTTGTTTCCATGTTTATTGGTTAATGTAGGGGTTTTGTTCTTGTTTTATTTTTAGGATTGCACTGTGGCTGACATGGAAGATAAAGTCCAGACTGTGGTAAGTTTATGTTTCTGTTGAAACTCAGCTGTCTGTGTTCACGTTCATTTTGGTTGCTTCTGTGCTGACTGTATTGACAACAGTTTTTCAGTCCCAAATGCACAAGCATATTGTGCAACTAAATATTACTATGACTTATTTTGTGAATGTTCTTTCCTGTAGAGAAAATCATTGAAATTTCAGCAGATGGATAGTGTGCGGTGGTAGCATGTAGTCAAGTATTCCTTAAAGTTTCATTACACAGCTATATTTCCAAGAGAATTTAACCTCAAATTTTCAAGGGAGAACTAGTCCTGGAAAATGATCACAGGCTAAATAAACCAATTATGCCTGTGAAGTGCATTTAGCACCTTAATAAGCAGAAGCTCTGCCTTATTATGCTTCTTCATGTAGAAAATCTGCCCTGCCACAGAAATGAAGCTCTGGCTCTGTGCTTGAGCTTGAGTTTCTAGGGCTGTTTGAAGCAGCCTTGTGACCAAATGCAGAGTGTAATGGAATGCTTTTTATATTTTGTAACAGTTAATCATCGCTTCCTGCTTTTGACATGAACCAGGCTGTGCTCTTTGATAAGGCTTCCGGTAGCTCATAGATCCTTAGGAATTTAGTAGCACAATAACTAAAAATAATTTTGTTCATAAATAACGAGACCATGTAAAAGGGAGTTCTCTGCATCTTTCTTTTTCCATTTGTGCACACCCACACTGGAAGTAGGTATTGTTGTTTGGAATTCCCTTGTTTGAGCAGTTCCTCGCATTCACACTTAAACATTGTTTTGATTTATTTTATTGCTGCTCTAGAAGTCTGACGTAAAATGAAACAGAAAACGTTGGAGCTATTGTTTCCAGGGACCGCTGTAATCCAGACCAATGTCTTCCTATGACATAGCTCCCCCCTATTCTATATATGTGTCTACTTTGACTGAAGGATTCAAGCCCCTTGTGAAAGGTGACTTTCCTTGCAGGTTCCCAAACTGTTTATAGCTAACTACTGTAATGTGTGCTAATCTTCTTTCCCCTCTCCTTTAAGATTTTGTAACCTACTTTGAGTGTCAGCCTTGCTTCAGTTGATGCAAAAGCAGAAAATACAGTGAGACATATTGAAATTTGTGTGTAGAGAGGGCACAGATTTTTTGACTTTTTTTTCCTTGTTTTTTTCATGTTTAATTAGACATTCTGATAGTTACATGTTCTGCAAGGCAAAGCCATTCTGCCTCCAACTTTACTGACACACACGCCAAGGTCAGAATTAGCCTTTATTTATAATCTTGGCTTAGGATAGTTATGTTTTGGTCAAAAGGAAATATGAACCATACCTGTGTAAGCATTCCAGAAGAGGTCAGTTCAGAGGCACAATGGAGAGAAGTACTGCAGAAGCACTTAAGTGCTGGATGGTCCTACCTTATACTGTAAGGTTTTGTGCAGGTGTGTCAATGGACAGCACATCACTTTTTGTGACACATGGCCAGTTGTATTCTTATAGCAGAAGTACAGAACAACATGAAAAACTGCCAGTTGTTCCCACAAGGAATCATCAAAATGTTTCAATATTTTAATGACCTATATTTTGGTTAGAGCAAACAAACCCCAACCCAATTTTTTTTTATATTTTGTGTGGGTTTTTTTTCAGACAGAGGCTGTGTTAGAACCTGTTAGTGATGGTAAGGTGGCACTAATGGAAACAGGTTGTTCCTTGTTACAATAAGGATGTAAACATGCTGTAGAATAGATCTGTACAAATGAATCTTCAATTTCAGTGATTTTAGAATTAATTTCCTTTGTATATTTTGAAAACTGAAAGAGGAAGAAGCCAGCAGAGCATTTTCCTAACCATTTTTTGTATGTTCTCATTGCAGGCCAAGACTTTAAATGGCATTTGTGATAAAGCCATCCGATCAACTACAGACCCACTGATGAGCCAGTGTGCCTGTCTGGAGGAGGTCCATTTAACCAACATTAAACCTGGGGAAGGCCTGGTAAGAAGCAATGCTGGAGTGTCCTGATGTTCCCAGTATTTAATAGGTAGCCTTGTGAGCCAATGAAAGTGTGTATTTATAATAAGGTCTTTCAAAACCTGCAGTAACCTGTGGGGAAAAGAAAGAAGCACAAGAACCCTAAAGGTCAGTTCTCAGGTGGTGTGCTGGAGTGGCTGCCAGGGGCAGATGTGCACATTAATAGGCTTGATCACAAATATAATTTCTGATTCTAAATTGTTGAAGGTTATTATTCTAATATTAGGTTATTATTATTCTAATTGTTAAAGGTGTGTTAACCAGAATATTGGAGAACTGACAAGTGCTTGTGAAACTAGTAGTTTTATTTTTTCAGGTTACCATAAACATTTTTTTTCTAGCAGGGCTGGGAGAGGGAGAAGGCAATGAGAAATGATGTTTGTGTTTTGAAAGATGATTTTTTATGTGTGTTTACAGCAAGATAGAGATGAATGGGAGAATTTTGGAGGTTTGGTGTTGGCAGGAAAATGAGAATTTTTTAACTATTTGGTGGCCATGTCTTATTACTGACTCCTATTCATTCAATGGATTCTTCTTAGCTGAGTGCTGGTTATGAGAAACTTAATTTGAAATCTTGGTGGGTTTTCTGTCTAGGGAACAGATGTGTTAGAATGAGTTGGAGAGAATTTAAATTGCTATGAGCATTTGTATTCACTCCTAGCCTGAAGGCAGGAGTAATGAACATTTTTAGAGAAAGCTGCACAGTCTTACTAGTTTTACCTAGATCAGTGGTTTTGACTGAGTGAGTCATGCATTTTTGAAATTATGGGAACCTCTTTGTTAATACACAAGCTACATTGAAGCAGAGTAAGTCTACCTTGGCCTAAGAGGCCAAGTAAGTAAGAAGTAAGGAGGTAGGTGCAACCAACTGGATACTGACAGGAAAACAGGCAGGGAATTGGCTGGAGAGGAAGGGTCAAAAAGATCATCTAATTTTCCACCTATTTTTAAAGTAAGTGTGGTAACTTCAGGCAGTTAAGCTGCTTTCAGCTCCTGAGTAACATCCAGTTCTGCACTTCTCAGAAGAAGTGCACTTCTTCTGTTTCTAACACCAGATGTAGAAAGGAAAAGTAGTCATGTATTTGTTCATAAATTATGAAATCAATGTGCTGGTCACCTCTTGTGGGAAATCTATGTAATTATTAGTTAATAGCCTGTTCATGGTTTTTAATTTGTTGCTCTTATAGTCAACACCCACATCATCAGGTTTGTCCTTGTGTTCACACTCAGCATTAGCATACAGAGCCACAAATACTCTGCTGGAACTTTTAGTGTTTATGTGAGCATTGTGGTTATGAGGCTGGCTGTGTATTGACTTACCAAGAGAAGCTGTAGAAGAACATGTCAGCGATTCTTGTAGCCCACCTGTGTGAGTCTGCTCTGTTTGGAGAGAGCTGGTGGCCACTGTAAGAACTGTAATTCTCTAAAGAACGCTGGATAGTAAAGAAATAAAGTTCTGTTCAAGGACAAAGTCTGACATGGCAGAAAAATCAGCAGTGTTTGGTATTACCAGCCAGAGAGTGTTTCTAAGTCTTATTCCATACACTAGGTGTTTTAAGTCATTATAAATATTGTAATAAATTACACTAAAAGTGATCTGTGAAGAAGTTTAGTGTTGTAATATTAGACTACACACTTTTTTAGGGAAAATATACAAATTGTATTAAAAATGTTTTGAGTCTGTTGCCAACAGTGTTTTAATCAAATAAGTTATGTTGTTTGTTTTGCCTTTAAACTTGTTTTTCATTTTTTCCTTATATTTAGGGAATGTACATCAAATCAACTTATGATGGATTGCATGTAATTACTGGAACTACAGAAAATGTAAGTGAAGCAAATGTAGATTATCTCACACAGCAGCTTTGATTGAGTTAGTTTGACTTACTACTTTTTGTTGTTTTAGACATGACTTGCATGGCATTACTGCTTTAAGTACTGCATGATCCATCATTTGTTTATCCACAGTTTGTAAATATTTTTTGCCTGCATGTTTCACTGTTAGCCTGATTAAACCAGTTTCTGCAAGTACACAAATTAGTTCAAATGCTTGGCATTAATTGCTTTAATAAGTTACTGTATCTGCTGTTCTGAGCTCTTATGGTATCTTGCTTAAAGTCTTGGATGTATTTGTTCTCCACTGGCAAAGGCAACCTCCCTTAATGGGAGCATTTAGGTGGTAGTGTGTTAAATTCAGTAATGAGTAATGAAATCAATGAGCTGTCCCATGACACAATTGCCTTGCAGAGTAAAACAATTATGAACAAGTAAGACTTTAAGAGTGGTCAGCTGGAAGGAATTAGTTGGCAAGAGAGGCAACTAGTTTTTTACTGCAGGTGGTTGCTTGTTTTATTTGTACACTGAGTCCTTTGCAGCTGAGAGTTTATTGAAGACTTCTGGGCAGCCCTTGAAGGAGTAGACCTCTAGCCAGCAGCCAAGGCTGGCAGGTGATGCGGTGGTGTTTTCAAACAGGCCACTACTGTCCAGGAGCAGTAACTGAAAGAAAAAAAGAGTGGAGAAACTTGGCTTTTGCAGCAATGCTTTTTTTTTTTTTTTTCCAGTCATTTTTTGAACCCTTCCATGAATTATGAGTCCCCCAGAGAAACTTGGCTTTTGCAGCAAAGCTTTTTTTTTTTTTTTTTTTTGTGACTAGGAAAGAACCAGTGGTTCTAATTGTTCCCCTGCCAGGTCCAGGGACCAAGCAGGAGAGTGTGGAAATCTGTGTTTGCAGAGTGTAAGTTTCTATAGCTGTTGTCCTGGCATAACTCTGTATAGGATCTGCCACAGAGACCATGATGGAAATCTGTGTTTGCAGAGTGTAAGCTTCTATAGCTTTGATACTGTTGTCCTGGCATAACTCTGTATAGGATCTGCCACAGAGACCATGTCCATATCTGCAGCAATTTTAACAACTGATAAATGCAACTGATGGCTTTATGGTTGTGTGATATCATTTAGACCCAGGCTGGATCTTAGCTCAATTTTCTTGCTAGATTTGGAATGATATTTTAGTAGTTATCCCCAGGAGCTGGCAATGGAATTGCATCCCTGAATTGACAGTACTGAACAATGGAAGAACTGGGGAAGTCCATTTGGTATGAGTCAGCCAAGAGGATCCCTGAGTTATGCCATCCTCTGTGAAACTTTGCACGTCGTGTCCGCCTCCAGCTACACTCTGCCCTCTGCTCTCACGATAGGATCCCAGTGCTGTGACCTGTCACTTGCTGCAGGAGTTCTCTGTGCAAGGGTTCCCCACCCTCTCTCAGATGAGCTGTTGGTCACCCAAGGGACAGTTTGAAATGAGCTTTGTTTTTCACAAACTTGACTCTGGCCCAGCATTTTTTCATGATCTTAGTTGACTCCTATATAGATGCAGCTTTCCACAGAGGCATTTCCTCTCAGAGGAAGCAAGAAGACAATGAAGAAATGGGGTTACTCATGATAGCTGAAGCCTCCCACAAATTCCCCATGTTTTCTTCCTTTGTTGTGCTGTTTATTCTCACAGTTCTTTCTCATAACAAAGTTACATGAGGTCTAAAGGTGTGATGAGGTGGAGAAGGGAGTCCTTAATCCAAGTGCTTAGTTCTGGAGTCGCTAGGAAGAGCTGGCCAGCTGCCTGGTGGTTACTCATGGGGTGGAGGGAATGGGAGGAGTTGCTGTCCTGTGACCAGGGTGCAGCATGTACCAAGGTAGCATGTCTGTGTGCTTTGGGTGTTGTCAAGGCTGGTAGGAGTTGGTGTGTTACAGCAGTGAGAGTGTTTTTAATAACTGCAGCAAAGGCTGGTGCATTGCACCAGCTGTTGATAAATCTAAATATTGACATACTTATCTGTTTCTTGCTAACGGCTCCCCAGAGCTTAGGTTTTGTTCCAAGAAAATTGTATTTTAAAGTGTATTATTATTAGATAGGTATTTGAAAAATACCTGTCTGTGCAAGTATTTTTATCTGCTGACTTTGGCGATTCAGGCAGGCAGTTTCACATTAAAGTCAGGAGCTTTTATTTACATTGGAAAACAAAAAGGGTAAGTGCAAAGGATCTGTCTTGTGGATTGGAGGGGTTTTGATCCTCTGTTCTGTACATTCAAAGTCTTAAAGTATTTTTTAACATAAATACACATTTGTTTAAAAGCTGCTTAAGATAGTTGTTGTGTTAGGGCAGAAATCCTCCTCAGGATTTCCTTGCCTCTTCCATTACTGTCTAAAACTATAGTACAAACTGGAGAGAAAGGGAGAGTGGAGACTGTCCCATGACTTAAATACAATTTGGTCTTTAACAGATGGAAGCTATGCCTTGTCTCTTCCCATTTAGTTCCCCCAGTATAAAAATAAATAATTGAATTAATTCATTTACATTTCTCAAGTCATCGGCAGAGGTGAAAATTATGTATAGTGAAGAGCATTGCTGATGCAACCTTTGACTTAGATTGGTGGGGTTTGTTATGGGACAGAGGGAGAACTGATGCAATACATGACTTTTGTTTTCTTCTTTGTAGTCCCCTGCTGATCGCTCCCAGAAGATTCACGCTGGTGATGAAGTGATCCAGGTTAATCGGCAAACTGTGGTGAGTAACTTCCCTTATGCTTGCTCTGCACCACAGGGGTGCAGAATGGATGGGGTCAGGAGGCAGTTCTGATGTTTGAGGCTTTTTAGCATTTTATTTTCAAGACAAATTTTATTCTTTGCAATATTTTGATAAATATACAGTATTTCTTGTTTAAATGCTTTATGCATCATATTAAAATAGTTCATGTTGCATTTAAGACCTGTTTAAAATATCTCGTTACAATCCATTGAAATGGAGATAATGAGCTTTAAAATGCCCCCCAGTAATTTGCAAATGATTGTCCAGTCATTTTTATCTGGGAACCTGGAGGTAATGATTGCATTTTTGTTTAGCATGTTAGCAATGCCTTTCAATGTGAGAAAGAAACATGACAAAAGTAGTTCACTGTGAATCCCTGTGTTAGTCAATTTGAGCACATCCATGTGTCCTTCTAGGACTGGAACTGAGGTATAAAGAGCACTGCTTGGTATCTTAGTATCTAGTTTAGAGCTTAAGTAGAGAACTTGGAAAGAAAATGAAGAACCTTGCAAAAAAAGAGCTTTCCTTTATTTTTTAATTCTTAAGATGGCTTTTTTGGATCCTTTATCTCTTCTATATCATCCTTTATGTCAAAACAAGCTGTCTAACATTGAAGATTTGGGCTTTCCTTGTTTGTTTGCTTTCAGAAAAGAAGTGCTGAATAAAGGATGCCTTTCTTCTCTTCCAGGTTGGATGGCAACTAAAAAATCTGGTGGCAAAGTTGCGAGAGAATCCTGCTGGAGTTAGGCTGCTGCTTAAGAAGCGTCCTACTGGCTCTTTCCATTTCACTCCTGCTCCACTGAAGAACCTGCGCTGGAAACCACCCTTGGTGCAGGTGAGAGCCTGCCATTTCCACTCTCATCTCAGGATGGGAATGCCTTGGTTGCAGCTGGAAAAAAGAAAAATCCCAGAAATGCCCCAAAGTACTCATGTTTGAGTGTATGACAAGGCAGGTTAGGTGAAATGGCTGTCCTCCTATGGTTCCTAGATAAAAGGGAAAATGTTATTTTCTTTTTCTTTTGTTTTCTTTTTTCCTTGCTACCAGATAATGCCCTCTTGGTACACAAAGGGACTAGGTGTGCTGAATATTTTAATCAGTCTGTGTGCCACTGGGAGAATTTATCTGAGGCAAAACTGCTGATATGTATGGAATTCATCAGCATGGAGCAATAAATAAATGCATTCTCTGTTTATCACATTAATATGTTTTTGCTGAAATAGCTTAAGACTATTCCATATATTTGTCCTCTTTTTAGTCTAGTGAAGGGGGAGAGAGTGTTTTTTTCAAAAAATTACTTAAACTACTTGTTTAAATAAGATTTGGCTGTTGGGCAATTCACAGGCTGGGTACTGAGCAGACAGAGAAAGTAATGTTAGTAATTCTTAAATAACCATGTTGAGGAATGGCATGTTGCATTAGGAAACTTAGGGCTTAATGCTTGCAGGAGAGAGCAACCTAACTGAATTTAAACTACTTATCTGAAATTAATAAAACAGGGAGAGTTCGCCTCCTTCTCCTCCTGTTGTGATACAGGTCTCCCTACAGCTGTGGGGATGATTTAAACCTGTGAAATGCTGGTAGCTGTCACAAGTCTCCATGAAGGCAGATTTCTCTCAAAATGGGTAGAAGATGTATACTTAACTACTTGTTCATCCTTCCTTTCAACAATGCATGTGTCCTGTTCTTGTGGCATCGTGCCTGACATGTGCTACCAGTGTGAAGAGCTGAGGTGGGCTGGCTTACAGGCTGTGCCCAGCAGTGTTTCCTTAGCGGGAGGGAGTGATTGGAGAAGAAAGGTCTTTGAAACCTTTTCTCTCCTGTAGGCAGACAGGAACATGGCAAGATGCTGAGAATATATAGAAGTGAGGCACAGAGATGAGCAATGCCAAATCTATTTTTGTTTTCCTGGCCCTTATATCCATTGATCCAATCTATGGTGAACTTTACTATATTCCTGTCTTGCCCCAAGGCATTGGAGTGTGTGGAATAAAGGTAGCATATGCCAGCTTCCCAAAGCTTGTTAATCATATCTGTATGAAACATATTGCATTATTTTGATGCACCTAAATATAAAAGAGGGGGTTTTGTCTCAGTTGCTTTTTTTGTCTGTGGAATTTACATGAAAAATAGAACTGGAAAGAGCAAAATATTCTTGAGCAATGCATTACCCATGATAGGACTTCTGTGGGAGGCCCTGTAAAGCCAGCCAAGACTGGGGGTGGAGGAGAATGTGGACTCTAAGAGTTTTTGAAGTGTCCATATATCACAGAGATAGTAGTTCACTAGGGGATGAAAATGGTGCTCTTGATTATTAAATTATCTTTCTGTAAATGATAAATGAATGTTCAGATGTTTGACAGCTGTTTAACATTTCAGACCAATCCCTCACCAGCTTCAACTCAGTCACCAGAAAGCACCGTGGATACCTCACTGAAGAAGGAGAAGCCAGCCATTTTGGACCTGTACATCCCCCCTCCACCAGCTGTTCCATATTCTCCTCGGTATGCAAACAAACCTGCACCACTCAACAGAATCCTCCTTCACTGCACTTGTTCCTGAGCTGGCTTGCTGTTAGAGCTCTGTGCAGATTAGCTTGAGGAAGCTGCAAATCTCAAACTTCCTTCTAGCTGCCTAAATGAGTTGGATTGCTTGAACTTATGCTTAAATGTGTGTGCTACCAGGATTGTAGCAGATTTTATTACTGGAAGATTGTGTGCCCCAGAGAGCAGAGTTGTTCCCAGAACATCACACTAATGTCATCTCTGGTTTTGTTGTGGAGTTATGTTTCTGACACTGTTTAAATCCAACTGCACACAGCAAGAAGTAATTTTTATCCCTAACATTTTTTCACTGTTGGATTTTTTTCTTTTTTAGCAAGTTGAGTAACTGTTGTGGGAGTTGGGATAGAAAAGAATGTCACGTTAAATGATGCCTATCACGTTAAATTTTTAAACTTGCAAGTTGTTTAAAACAAATATGTTCCCACTGAAGGGAAGGGAGAGACAATACATCAACTCTTCTTTTTTTATCCTGTGGTGTAAAAGTGCATACCTGTATACACAGTGGGAGGGGAGTCGTGTATGTGGTAAGGCTGGCTGTTGTTTCTTCTCAAGTCCATGTTGACTCATGCCAGAACCCTGCCAGCTGATCTGGGAATGTGATGGAAAAAAGTGTTTCCAGGCAAGAAGTGAAAGGCAGGCATGCTTCCTGGCCTTCCCTGACATTTTAGGTTACGTGTAGGCAGCCAGCACAGAAACTGTGATCTTTTGCTGCAGACCTTGTGGCAGGGCGCTTGCCTCCTGCCGTGTAAGGGCTGATACAGAGACAGAGGTGCTATTACTGCCGTTTTTGGGGCAGGACCAGGGTGGGGGGCTTTGTGGGCGGAGGCTTTGCTTAGATAGGGTCTCTTCACTAAAGTTGGACCCACCTTGACCTGCTCTTGCCTTGCTTTTATGGTTACTCATGCTCAGTTCTTATTAAAAAACTCTCAAATCTTTAAATCTTTTGGCACAATGACAAGCATATAGATTTAGCAGATGAATGCCTTAGTTGTTTCTTCAAATCATTAAGTATCTCAAGCACATTGGTGAATTATATCCATGTGCTCAATTTGTTTATCTCTCCTAAAGAGATGCAAAATTATATCGAGCTTCAAATGCCTTTAGACCTGAATCCCTGGTGAAAAGGATGGAAATCCCAATACGAGATGTAAAACTTGTCCTGGATGATGGGTGGAAAGAGAAAGGCATCTTGACTTTGACTTTTAAAGAAAGCAAAGTGAGAAGCTATGGCAGGCAGGAAGAGGAGAAAGGATAATTCTTTTGCCTTCAGTTTGGTAATTTATTTTGACCTCTACATGTTTTGCTTTTCTCTTGAGATTGTGGTGCATTTGTGTGATGATGGCTTTTTTTCTCCCTCCCTCATCATCCTTTTCTCTTCCCTTCCTGGCATGAATCTCCTCTGCTCCACACTGTGAGTCAGAGGGCAGTGTTTGGTTTCCCTTCCCATGGCACAGTCTCCACATGGTGGTGGTGTAGGAGAGCTTTCCATGTACATACATTTCTGGTGTAACACTTGAGTGCAATTTTTGGTCTCTCCATCTCCATAAATAGCTCCTTCCTATTCAGTGAGCTTTAGCATTGTTCTTGCTGGAGAGCTGGACGAGTGGGATGTGCTGTTCAGGGACTGCTATGAACACGGGGGTATATGTGTGCTTAGGTGGTCAGCTATGCGTTTTTGTGCCTGACTTGGCTAATGGTTGCTTCAAGCAGTAAGATTGTAATATGTAGGAAGGGAAAAAACCTCCAGGCAAATCTTAACTTGAAGGACAGCTTCTCTTCCAAAAGTACTTGCAGAATTTAATCAAAATCGTGTATGCGTGTATATATACACTATGAATCTGTTACTAGAACTCTCAAGGAGGGAGAGAGAAGGTGGTAAATATTTAGTGACAGGTACTGGGCTCCCATAATGACTGAAAGGCAGAGACCCTCAGATGGAGGTAGTAGGTGTTACCATTACCCATACAGCGATGGATAAATGCATGTAGCACACCTGAGTCACAAATATGTACTTGAGCAGGCGGTGCATCAGGGGCTTTGATGCCCTCAGGACAGAAAGAGCTCATTTATCAAAATCTTTTGCAGGAGTGGAGCCTCTAAATTTCTCAGTGTGTTAAATTACGGGCTTGTTAAGAGTGAATTAGCATGAGGAGGGTAGCTTTCTTTTCTCCTTGTTAAATATAATGAAGTCTTCTATCACCTGACTTTCTTGGGGGTTTCTTCCAGCTTGTTTGCAGCACAATGCCAATTGTCACGAGCATGACTTGCTGCTAGAAGCATCTTTCAAACCTATTCATGTCTGTAACTTTAAACTCTTTCAAGCCACTAACTGCAGTGACATGTCCTTTCAGAGATGAAAAGGGGAGCTTTGTGTATGGAGGAGGCAGCAAACGCAGTCAGCCACTACTGGGGTCCAAGGGCGCCGAGTCTCCCAACTCTTTTTTGGATCAGGAGAGCCGAAGGCGGAGGTTCACTATTGCTGATTCAGATCAGCTGCCTGGGTATCCCATGGAAGTAAACGTCCTACCACCCAAGATGAGAGAAAAAACACAGTCCTACGGTGAGTTCATTCCCCTCTTGTTATCACTGTTGTGATCAGTCTGAAATGATTTGTCTTTGAAAACTGCTTGTTAGACTTGATTGATGTTAAGGCCGTTTGTACAAATTGTGAATCTGAAATTCTACGTCTGAAATAATTTCTCTTAAATGTTGTTGTTTCCGTAATGAATGTCATTCAGCTGGGGTCTGCTGCTATAGAAATGGTTTTCCACATGTATTTTGGTTATACCATTATGTCCACTCCTGCTCTAAATGAGCAAGAGGGCGACTGTTTAATCTCAGCACACTGATTTCTTATATGTCACCAGTGGAATTACCTTCAGATATTATTTTTTCTGCAATTTGAACTCCTTATTGCTTATCTCTCCCTTTGTTTAACTGGGAAAAGCAAAAATTTAAAAATTGGTTTCCTCAACTTTATGTAACTCCTATGTTGTCTCTAGGAAAACCTCGTCCTTTGTCAATGCCTGCTGATGGAAGCTGGATAGGAGCTGCAGAACCCTTCTCTAGGCCACGAGGATCAGGGAGAAAAGGCAAGGTTTTAGGTTTTATCCCTCACTCTCTTCCTCTCCAAAATTTTCTTGGGGTGAACTACGTAAAAGTGTTTAAACTAGGAATGGAGGATCATAGTTTGCATATTGCTGAACTGATGCAAGGTGACCATTGTTGGGTTTAGCAGAAATGCCAGATGGTAACTGAAATTTCTGAAGCTATTCAGTGATGGGACTCAAATCTTCTGCCTTAGACGTGTAGTGAGCATTAAAAGTTAGCGACAATGACTAGGGCGGATCTGTACTTATGATTTTTTAGCACAGGTTACCATTTTGCTCTTGCACACATCCCTTTCCCTTTCCATTGCATTTAATATTGGTCATGAAACTACTTTTGTGCTAAGTCTTTTTGTTTAGCTCACTGTGGAGGCTGTTGAAGAAGCAAGCTTGTTCACAAAATGTGAAATGTAGGGCCTTTTAACAGCTTTTACTGCTGTTAGAAAGGAATATATTCTGCAGGCATCACTGAATGGGAGAGACAGAAGCTCATAACATTTTGTGTTCAGTTGGATGGCTTTTTTACTTCCTACACAGTCCTCTTCCCACCCTCTTTTGCATCTGAAAGACTTTTAGTCCTGTTAGAGTGGGAAATAGGGATGACTAGTTTATTCTTGGAATCAGTTATGAAAACTAATGTCTAATTCTAGGTAAAATCAAAGCTAGATTCTGTTATTTTCATGTAAAAGCAGAAGCTGATAAGGAGAAGCATCAACCTGGAGGAATACTAACAGAGCGATCACCAGGTGGCAGGGCTGGTTTTTTTGTGTATGATTTTACCTTTGGTTTTGTGTTGCTTTTTTTTTAATGCTTGAAATGTACCTAAGTACTTTAGGCTTTTATTTAAGCTGTATTGGATCAGAACCAAAGACCTGCCTAGTCCGTCAGATTTCTTTAGCAACAGCTGCCTTGGTCAGGTGTCTGGGAAAGAGTTAAAACAGAGAAAGCATCATGAATCACTGGTCAAAACAAGGGAGGGAAGTGCTTACATCTTCACCTGCAAAATTAATTTATCTTGTCCAAATTAATATTAGTAGCTTTTAAATTACACATGAGTTATACTGAGAAGTTTATGGATTCAACTCTGGTCTCTTCAGCATTTTGAATAACACATTAGAAGAAATTTGTTACATATCACCTATGATAATGATTTGCATGAAGGTAGTCTGTATCATCATTTTTGGTGTGTCTGAATCTGGAATATAACAGTCAAATGTTATCTCCTCTGAGTATGGGTTTATTTCATTATTGTGTTACTTAAAAACATTAAAGATGCAAAAAGCTGTGAATTTATTGATAGTTGCTGATATCCAGGTGTTTTATGAACAAAACCTCAGATTTAGATATTTGATGTGTAACCAGAATACTTTTATAAAAATAGAAAATGTCAGTGGAGGGTTTTGAAGTCAGAAATAATTGGTTTTCCCCCTCCTGTTTGTACAGGTGAAGATGTCCTCTGCAGGTACTTCAGCAATGAAAGGATACCCCCAATCATTGAGGAAAGCCCCTCCACGCAGCACCCGCTCTGCAGGCCAGTGTCTGACAAGCAGTTAGTGAGGGGAACGGATTATATTCGAGGAAGCAGGTGTTTTATGAATACAGACCTCCACAACAGTGCAACAATTCCTTTTCAAGAGGAAGGTGCTAAAAAAACGTCGGTTACATCATCCACAAAATCCTCCTCAGCAGAGCCCTCGCTGCTGGTCAATTGGTTCACGAGACTGAAATTGTTGACTCACTGACTTGTCCCCAGCGCTGTTACCAAGTGCCTTTGCTCTTCGGTCAGACTTCTCTACTTTGCAGCTTAACTGACACACAGAGACTAATGCAGTATTCTTTTCCTGGAGAATCTCAAACTTTAGCCTTTTTGTTTGTCATTTTTGATGGATCAGAGTGTTTCATAGTGCAAGGAGGGAAGAAAGATCAAGTTCCTCTTCCTGGCCAAAAACTGAAGGCGATTATTCCCATGGAAATGAGTAAAATTTCAGTGAGGTAGAGGCCACACGTGACCTGGAAAATGCCTAGTGACTCAGAGGAAAACATTGCATTACTGTGAAGTCCAGTGGCACTTTAGTTGTCTGAATACTCAGAGGCTGGTGCAACTGGCAGGGTGTCAAGAGTATGAAGAGCTCACAGAAGTTGTCACTCTCCTGACTGGGAAAATAAGCAGGGAAACAGCAGTTTCATGCAACTTGGTGATGCTGTTTCGAGTACTGCATGAGATCAACCTTGGGAGGAAGAAGTAGTGGTGTTACCATTCTTTCTCTGATATCCAGAGTTCCTATGAAGTCTTAGGAAGAGAGTTCTCTTATTCAGAGATTTTAGGAAGTTGGACTAATTTAATTATAAATCAATCCAAGCTTATATATATAATCTATTTTATTTGAAATCACAGTACAAATAAGGAGCACTGAACAACTGCAGTGCTCATCTGTAAGGGTATATGGATTGCTACAACAAGGCAAGGAAATGCATCTGTAGAGGTGGTGAAAGAATATATATTTTTTCCTTAATTGTTCAAGAATGACTTGCTGTTAACCAAAGTAACCTTTAAAGACAGTCCTGTTGGACTTATGAGAACTTTTACAGTGGTTCAGTTTTTGAATGATGTGTTATTTTTATGAAAAATATGTGCTATCACACACTACAATTGTAAGACATCTTGCTATTTTCTATATAGCTCTAATTTTTACCCCTCCAGAAGTTTAAAGTAGCGTTGGGTATTTTGGGAGGAAAATAAAACTTGTTTAACAAAAGAGGAGGATATTAAAGAGGTATTGTTTAAGAAGGAATGTACATAAGATTGTTAGTATGCAAACAGTTGTGTTTAAAGTTATTTAAATGTTAAATATAGTTGTATATATTTTTACATTTAAACAGATAGAGTTTGTACCTTCCTGTATTGAAGTATTGGGCACAGCTTAGTCAAATGAAAAGAAAATAAGATTTTGTATTACCTTCTAATTATAAGACTAACTATTTTTGTAGATGAGACATTGCCAACAGCCCCTTCTCCTTTGGTCTTGCTGAAAAGAAGGATTTGTATTTAATGAGTGGTGGTGAAAGAGGGAAGTTAAATGCTAGTTTGCACTTAGGACTGGGGCAGGAATCACATGTGATAACAGGATGTTAAAAACACACTGTAATTCTGTCTGTGAAGATGTCACCATGCTGCTGCAACGAGCTGATGAAGTTGTGCTACAGTCCCGCAGAGAGACAGGGTGTTTCATTCACTTCTCAGTTAATTATGTTTGATTGTGACTCATTGATGACTGGGGAGGCTGGTTTTGGACCTTTCTGATCAAAGCAGATATGTCTGTCTTCTACCACTCTCCTCCACTCCCCGAGATGGCAGTCTGTACTAGATGTGAGCTGCTCCTGTGCAGCTGAACCCTGCCACAGTTTGGTCCTGCCTCCAAGAAAAGGGCTGAGACTGCCATGTTGTAGGCTCTGTGCTGTAGTATAGTCCAGCCTCAAGAAGGCTGAACTGTTCTAAAGCTGTTGTCCAAACAAGACTTTTAAAATGGAAATTCTGCTTTTTTTCAGTGTTGTGTTTTCTTTACTTCAAAAATGAAAGGGCACCATCATGCTTAACCTCTTATTATGTATAGTGAATATAGAGGGTGCTCTGCAGTTTAGGGGTAAAAAAGAGTCCCACAGATCTAGGCATAAATCACAGCTGGTATCCTTCTGGCTTAACCTGCAAAAAATTCCACTATTATGCAAAAACTTGGCTCATCTCTTGATGTTGAAGGTACGTGTATCTATCTGTTCAAAAACTGTATCTAGGCTGACTTCCCTAATGAGTACCATGTACGTTTCCAGATATCCTGCCATGGTACAGTACTCCACAACACTCTGAATACACTGTCATGGTGGGAAAACAATGCAGTTAATTGGAAAAGATCATAAACCCCACAAAAATGGAAAATAATATTTAGTACTGTTGCATATGTGTATAGTAGGGATCATGCACTTTTGAAATATTGAGCGGGCTTCTGTTGAAGTCTGTAGAATACGTGAAAGCCAATATCTTTGGTTTCTCTTACATAACCATTGCAAAAAAAAAAGTCCTATTTTGGATGGTAATGTGTGAGAGGAAATAAGAGACAAAAATGAACACTAACAGCTTGTAGAGACAGAGTGCAGGGCAATTCTCCAAGCCATGTGTTTCCTGTAGTATAATGGACAATTATATTAATCAGTGTTTGAATTCTGGATGACCAACAGAGGTGAACACAGTACTGAGAGTATTATACTAATTTTGTGCTAATCAATGAGCCAATAACTTTTCCTTCCTCATAAGCAGGGCTTGTTTTACAAGCAACATGCACCATAGTCTTGGTGCTTGTTGAACAGAAAGGAGAGTGAGTAAAAATTCAAAACTTAACCAAACCAGGAAACAGATGGTAAAGACTAGTTTCAGAGTTGGAAGGATAAAGAATTTTCTTTTTGCGTAAATGTTTCTTTAGTCCAAATCTTGTATCCTGTTTTATTACACTGCCACCAGGCAGTCTTTACAAACTGCTCTGTATCTGCAATCACATCCTGAACAGACCAAGTTAAACCCCTCATCAGGCTTTAACTTAGATCTTGATGAATTCAGCTCAAACCCTTTTTTTGCAGGTTTTACTTCCCTAGGAGCTTTCCTGCATTCATCATTCAATTTTTGGAATAAGTTACACATGATCCGAGCAGAAAGGCTTTCGTGCTCGTGCATTCCCAGAAATGCCTTTGCCAGCAGGATTGAGGAGTGAGTGTGAATGTTGGCTTCTGCTTGAGTTTTCTGCACTAAAATATTCATTCCCCAATTTCCACCATACATCCTAGTGCACCATCTCAAAGCATGAGATAGAAATGCTCATGGGCAATTGGAAAGAAGTGTTGTGTCCTTTGTCCTGCTGTGCAGCTGTGGCTTCTTTCTTCGCTGTAGCCTGAGCTTTGCGCATGCTGTGGTTATGGAGCACGTGCTCTCTGTGGCCGTCACATAGGAATGCTTTTGTCTCCTTGCAGGCTGTAAGGTTTTTATAATGGACAAGAGCTCTTGAGGAAGCCACTGACTTAACTCAGTGTATTCTGTGATTCACTTAAAATGTAGAAAGAGCACTCCAAAAAAACGCAGTTTAGAGAATAAAAAAGAAGGGGTCAGGCTAAGCTAAATGTATGGGTCTGTGTTGTGTCAAATGCAGCTTCTGCTGAGTGGCAGTAATTCTGCAAAGAAAGCACCCCACACAACTGCAGCATGCACATTTGTTTCTACTGCTACATTTCTATGATGCTAGAATATGAAACAAGGGCAGTATTTCAAAGCAGTTATATATAGTTCCACACACCACACTTGAGCTGTAAGATATATTGACAAAAGCAGTCAAGAGCTGCTGTCAGTGTGTAATTTCACCAGATTCTGCTGCCTGTGTTTCTGCTGCATCAGTTTAAAATAGAAACCTCTCTTTATCCAGTTGCCTGTACAATGTGAGCCCCTAACTATCAGTTTTGCCTTCCTTTGTGATAGCAACTGCTGGTAAGATTGTGTCATTCCCACAGGGCCTCATGCAGTGGTCCAAAAGCTTAGTTAGTTTGGGTTATCCTGGACTTAGTCCAAAAGTAGAAAGTCAAATTTAAAAACAATGTTACTGCTTCAGCATCACTTAGAGTTGGTTTTTTTTTTTGTTTTTTTTTTTTTTTTTTTTAATACATACTAGATATGAAACAGGCAGGAGTTGTCTGTTGGACATACTTTGCCAGTGGAAATAAAAATTAGGATTACATACTCAATAGAGGAAAAATCCCCAGACCTTTGGGTGTCCTCCAGTTCCTGCCAGTGGGAGAAATGTGTTTGTTTTAGCATGACAAAGAATAGATGTAAACATTTCTTTTTAAACCTCTCTGTGTGGTCACCTCAGTTATTCAGGATGATGTAAGCCACTGACTTTCTCCCTTAAGTGGTTATGGAGTTATCCAATATATTTTTTTGGGAGAGGGTAAAGATATCTTAGACAATTACATGATTGATTAACAGAGTACGGAGACAGAGTAATTTGGCATAAAATAAGTGCCAGAGAGTGCTGAGTTATAGGGAAAATCCTCGGGGTCAATTTAGGATTGTGGTTTCTGTTTGTTCTCTGGGGTGAGGGTGAATGTTCTCTATGCCAGACAGCAGCCAAGGAGTCAGAGGACAAGAAGTCCAGCTTACTGTGCCGTCTTCAGTTGAGAGGGGTAGTTGCTTGGGCTTTTTTGGTTGGTTGTTTCTGACACCTTGCCCTCCTTGGTAAGTGTAGCCCTTTTTCAGTGCGAGTGAGCCAGAGTAGGAATTGTTGAAATATCCCTGTGGAGCAAACCTGGCAAGATTCTGGTGGATCCCTGAGCTGTCCTGACTGATGGTGCTCAGCCACCACATGTTTAGATGTGCTCTGGGAATGCCTTTGCAGGCAAGGAGCCTCAGACTCTTGTGACCTTTGCTTAGAGGCTTTTTTGTTTGGGCAGTATTTACTGAGGCATACAATATGCCACAGTCTAAACTGATATTCAATGTTTTGACCGTGTATTTAATGTTTTGGGTTTTTTCCCCAAGTAACTGCATGCTTCTCAGTGCTACTTATTAATGTGTTTTCCTCTTTCATCCCCCATTAGCTGTTTCCAGTACCAATGTTTCTATTGAAATCCTCCCATATTTCCAGTGAAAGTGTTCATAATGCCAAGTGACTACAAATGAGCCATAAAATTTTAATCTGTAAACTGTAAGAGCCCCAACCAAACAAAAATCCATTAGAAAAACACAAGAAAAAACAGTTTTTCTGCCTTGTGAGTAATGACTTCATGAATAATAATGAAACTAAGGATTTTCATCCAGGTAAAAGATCAGCCAAACTTTAGTGGCTGCATCTTGGGTGATTTGTTTGATTTTATTATCTGATAGTAGAAAATGAGGGCTGTAGTTCAGGTATTGTAGATTCCTGTAGTGCAGCTGTGGTGTTTAAATGTGTCTCCACAGAACGTGACCAAAGGCTTTCTTAGGTGAAACAGTTTTAGCTGAAACTCTCCCACTTCACTGAATGTCCCATTGAACATGCAGAAGTCTTAATATTGTCTGGCATATTTCTTGACCACTGGTTTCTGGGAGGAAGTTGGTATAAGTTCCTATAGGTGAATAGGATGAGAGCAAAATACATTGTCCTAAATTAATTATTTCCCTTTTCTTATGTTTTTCCTCTCTGACCTTTTCCTCCCTACATTAAGGCTAAGGGACTTTCCAAGAATTTATTTCACAAAGAAACAGCTATAAAGTCTTTAATATTTGTAGCATAATCAGTTTGTTTTCATGTCCGAGATAGTTTTGATCAGAGCCTTCCAGCAAAAATAGTGCTGCCCACAAGACAACATTTCCAAGTTCTTGATTCGTGTAAGAATTCCTCTCTGCTTAGTAAGCTGTTGGCTTGGAGAGAGAGCTTCAAAGACTCTGCTTTGAAGTTACTTAGACCACCCCAAGCAGTCCTTGGTCCTTTAGGTCCAGACACATCAGCTTCTTATCACTGGGTAGGAAGAAAGGTCTGTTTTTCTGTCTGGTTTCTGAGTTTTGTAACACTGGATTCATAGGTTGCATTGGAGAGATGGGTGTGGAGCTCCTGCCCTTCCCTGTCTTCGCAGTGGCTGTGTGGGGCGGAGGGACAAGAAGACGAGAGGAAACCCATCAGCTAAAGCAGCAGCCCCTCTCTTCCCTCCCTCATGCTCGGGATAGGAGTGACAGGCCTCTGGATAAAAGTCTAATGGGACAAAGTACTTGGTTTGCAAAGTTTGTTTTCCTGCAGAAGTGTGGGAACATTGTGGAGTGACATGATGTGTCGCACAGTGTTAGTGCAGAGGTAAATGAGGGAGCCATTGCCTAAAAACCAAAAAGGTTTGGCAGCATATGAGCTCCTGTATGGCACAGGCATGTTTCACCCAGTGCTAAAACAAAGGGCACAAGTGAACTGGGGCTGTCTGGGAGAGGCAGCGAGGCAGATATACCCCAGGGTGTTCACACATGGGTGAATCTGGTCACAAGAAATGCATTTGACCTGTACTGCCCGTGGCTGGCTGCTGTGCTTGGAATGGATGTGGTCTGTGTGGGAAATAAGGCTTTTAGAAGGATGTGGAAGAGGCTCAGGTTTCGGCATCATGACTCATTTTCCCAGTGGTTGACCAAAGCAGGGGAGGTGTGATGGGAAGCCCTGATGAGCAGTACTCCTGCTATCTTTCTCCCTATCAAGAAATGTCATAGAGTGGAAACAAACATCACCAGAAGTCTGAAGTTCGAAAAACCTGAATCACACACAGTTACCAAAACACATGACTTCTCCCACAGGTCACTCTTGCAAGTGTCTAGTTTGCAATGAAGCATTTGGTGTGTTTTCAAAATACAGAAGATTTTGGACACCCTCTGGTCTCACACAGTATTTGATGTTCATGTAGCTGGCTGTGAAGAGGGACATCTTGGCTAGTGAGGCTGGCTCTGGCAGTGTTGTCTCAGGGCAGGAGCTGTAAGGTGAGAATTGCATCATCCTGACTAGTTTGATACAACCTTTTTGGGTTGGATGTGTGTAACATGCCTACATTTTAGAATGAAGTGAAAGTCAGTTATAGAATCACAAAAACACACAAAAGCCATTAGTGGGAGTAGAGATGCTGCCAATGCATTGTTCTCTGGTTGCTTTCCAGTACTCTTGCCTAGTTTGCACCCCTAAGACAAAATTCCAGGTGCTGTCCTAGTGGAAGGTGGCACACTACGTGACCCCAAAGGCTCATTTCCATTGTTCAAAGCACAGGCCAAGCAACATTTCTGTTGTTTTTCTCTAGGTCTTCAGTGATTTCCAGTGATGACTAGTCTATTCAGTCTGTTGCTACCTTCTCCTTTTGCTCAAGGTGCCCTTGCTGAGCACCTCAGGCAGTTTTGGCATTGTGACACCTGCAGAAGGCAATGTTGTGTTCAACATGCTTGTGCTGCTTTTGTACTTGAGCATAAATAAGAAATTCTCCTACTAAGTAAACAGGGTTTGTCAGGCAAGAGGTTCTGTCCTCAGCACTAGGTCTGATTGTTCCTTCTAGCTTTTGTGTCAAATCTGATTGGTTGATTAGAGCTATTTTTTATTATGATCAAAAGGGTGAAATGAAAATAAGATCTTGTTGATGAAGAAGGTTCAAATGAATATTTGAACAAATTAATAATGTCCAAAGAAACTACAGAAGTAAAACCAGGCACTAATTTTTATTCTGAGCAGTGCTAAACATGAAATACACGAAGTAAATGTGTATGTGTTTTGCATTTGTGTGGGGTTTCATATCAGCCTACTGTCTGGAAAATTTTAATATTATTCTACAAGTTTCTTGACAATGAAGGGTAACTGTGGGATGCTTATGATCAAGCTGCTGCTGTATTACTGTGCTGTTGTATTTTGGGAGAGCAGACTGCCTGCTACACCTGGGTTTTCTGTTCCTTCCCAGCCCTCCCACTCTAAAACCAATACACATCGCATCAGGTGGCTTTCAAAATTATAAGCTCGTCACTAGATCCTCTTTTCACTGTCCTACTCAGTTCAACTTTTGAGACCAATAGGAAATGTATTTTTAAAGGCTGAAGATGCTGCAATACCATAAGCACAGGTAGATGATTGTTTGGAGAACTGGAGCCATTGTAAGGTAACAGATATGCTGCTGTATTTAAGATGAAAAGTTTTTCTTCAAGTAGAAATTGTGTTATGTTCTTGGACTATTAAATACACTCTTGATTCAGAAATGCACAAAGCACCATTTGTGCCACTTAAAGTTCACATGGAAAAGCTGAATCATCCAAGCCATCTGAATGATGCACACTATTTGGTAGTTGTTTTCTTCACCAGGCAGCTGGTGATCTCTCTTCCTGTATTCAGGGCTTGGGTGGGGGAGGAAAAAAGGAAGACAGAAAGGAGTCTCCAGGGTGGGGGGAGAAGCTATTGCTTCATGTGTGCAAACTTTATGGTTTTCCTGAGATCTCTAAATTTGTGGTAAGTTAAAACTATATTAAGAGGATTGAAGAGGCAATATATATTGCAATTAGGTTATAAAGTATTTTTATTTTAAAGTAATAATGCTTTATGAACATTTTACACATGTTTTGTTTATTATAACTTATATTTCAAGCAGTTCTTCATGGGGGAAGACATGGCATATGTGCTAGGGCTGGGGGTCCTTCAGACTTGGTAGCTTCTGTGTCTCCTGCCCCCCTCTTGAAATAAAGAGGTGAACTGTGAGATTTGTTACCTCAGTCACCAGCCAAAAAATGGTAACTCAATTTCTCTTTGCTCATGTTGTAAACTTAACACCCAATTTACGTGTTTGCCTGCTGAAGCTCAGTGATAGTGTAGGGTTGTTCAGTGCTAAAAAATCTCCCAGGTCAGGAGTGGGACAGGCATGTGACTGGGTTGGGGGAACAGTAGTTTTACACAAAACCCCACATGTACTCCCTGCAGCTGCATCCTTAGTTTTCTAATTTAGGATCTATCTATTTTTCTGTGGATATTTTGTTTATATTGACATTGGTGAAGAAGCTTTTTTCTTCTTTTTTAATGATCCGTCCCTTTATTACAGTCTGTCTTACCTAGTTAGATGGTAAGATTTTTTTTTTATCAAGCTTTGTCTTCTAGTTTTAACTTCCTGAGTGTAATGGG